CAACCAATTAATATGGGCTAATTATAAACAAATAAACAAAATAATTTTCAACCTAATTTGTTTGTTTGAATTTAGCTTATATTAATTGCTTGCAACAATTTGCAATGAACCTTTTTTTTTTTTGAGTTTAGGACAAACACATACTATGGGAGTCAGGTTAAGATTTGGGATTCACAATAATCCCAATCACTTCCCTTTAGTACTTCAAATGTGTGAAATTCCTAATTTACCATACCACATCTTAAGTTAAACCCTAAGATGAGAAACTTTTGGCAATAAGCCCCCCTGAGCCCCAATCTCCATCACTCATTCATAATTCTCCAGCAAAGGAACTGGGAAGGGACTTGCATTACCAAATAATTAATGGCTTCCAACAATAACATCACCTCCCATCTCAATTTTCTTCAAGACCACCTTGAGTATCCGAACAGGCATTGGTGGACTGGAGCAAAAGGAGGTGAAACAAAAGTTCAAAGTGTCAGAATCAATAATAAATGTCCCACAAAAACAAAACGCAGCTGAGAAGCATCATCCCAGGGTTGACAACTGCTGTTGGGAGGATTCAGGGATGCTCTCGTGCTGCTCCAGGAAACTTTTCAGGAGAATATCATTATGTCAGTACTTGGAAATATGCCAGCTGGGTCACCGAGATGAATAATGATCTGAAAACCACATTTAAAGTTGGATCCGTGGCACAGCGGACAGCACTTCAGCCAAACTTCACATCCCAACCAATTCCCCCCTCTCTTTACTCTTAGATTTACTGCATCCTTTGACTTTATAACATATTAAAGGCAAAAAAGCTAAATATAAAAGAGAAAAAAAAAACATTTAAGTCAGTAAAAAGTATGTATTTTTAATGACCAAACTAAAGAAATAAGTCATTCATTAACCCTCATGTTATTCCTAACCATTATGATGTTATTTTTCCACATGGAGGAGAAGATTTTAAGCCTATAAAGTTTACTCGTTCATGTATGCTACTCAGAGGCCTCTTAATCATCCAGATAACTATAAAATAATGCTCTTTATGGATAACGAAACTACAAAATAACGATATAACAGCTGTTACTGAGATGGTACCTTTAAAATGTACACTTTAGTAGTATCTACACTGCAAAAAATGCTTTTCAAACCTAGACATTTTGTGTTATGATATTCAGCGATTGTTCATCATAGATCGCTGGTTCTCCCACACTGTAAAAAAATGTCCATAATTTCAACGGTAAAAAAACTGTAAAAATGCTACAGTACAAATCCGTAACCTGGTTAACGGTATGTTTCCTTAATATATACGGCGAATAACCGTAAATTGACTTTCCCAGAATTCCCTGCATGGCACAATCACTTTTTATGCATTTTGTTGACATTAATATGGATCTTTTTAGTTGTTTCCCCATCAGTTATGTACATTAGAGATTTATGTTACATCTAATGTTGATAAACAATGTTTACTTCATAACTTTAATTTTATACGTGTTACCATACTGGTGTTTAGTAGCTGTGTGAATGACACTGAGCACCTTCTATATGCTGATACTCTTTTCTGCTTGTGGGAAAAGTTGATTGTGATGAGCTTTGGCTCATTATGTAACTTCCTCATCACCACCTGCATGTGGGTGTGCTAACGTGTCTGTGTAACAAAAGATGTGTAAATGTTGATTATGCAAAATACAGACATATTACCTCTATAAATTAATAAATACGGTAATTTACCGTGAAAATGAAAAAAAAAAATTTTACGGTTTGTACCGTGTTTTTAACGGTAAAGTACTGGCAACCACAGCTGCCGGTTTTTTACCATAAATTTTAGGGATTTATTTTTTACAGTGTACACAATAACCATGGACTACACTTCCGCCTTCTCCTGGACTACATATTCATACATGCTCTCTGGTCACACTCGCACATGCTCACTCATCTAGACTGATAACACTCGCAACACCTGAGGACTATCAGAGACTGATTGCACTCACTACTTAAGTCACTCGTTCACCCATCCAGTTTGCCGAGTCTTGTTAATCTGTTGATGACATTACAACGCGTTCTCCTAGTCTTGTCTTCCCGTATCTTGATCTTAGCCTTGCTTAACCTTGTTATCCTGTTTAGCCGCCAGACCTATTGCCTGTTTATATGACTACGATTCTGGACTGCCTGTTCATACCCGTTTGCACCTGATTTGACCATTGCTAGCCTGACGTTGAATAAACCTGCTTATTGGATCTTACCCCCAGTTGTGTGTGTCATCCCCCGACGTTACATTTTGCTTGTTTCTAACCCAAATGTATAAAAATTGTGAAATCAAGAAGAATTTTATAGACAAGCAAAAATTATTGTCTTGTTTTCAGAAATAAGATGTCGAATTTAAGCAAGCTTTTCTTTAAAACAAGCAAAATAATCAGCCAATGGGGTGAGCAAAATAATCTTGTGAAAATAAGAAATAAGATTATCTTGCTTACCCAATTGAAAGAATGTTTTGCTTGTTTCAAGTGTTCATACTTAGATAATTCTTGACTATGCAGGTTTGGCATGCTGTCCCGGTAGAAAACCCTGAGCTTCTAGAGCCCAAGGTTGACCACCTGGTCAATAAGCATTAGGAAGGACACAAGATCAGGTAGTTCTCAATAGCTTCCCAAGAAAAGACCGCCAACTGCGCCAGTGTGTACGTATTAGGTGCTTGTGAATTTAACTTGTGTTACAGGCCTTTAGACGGTGGGAGGAAACTGGAGTACCCAGGGAAAACCCAAGCAAACACGGGGAGAACATGCATAGCGCTAGCCACTGAGCCGCCGTGTCTGGCCCGATTCCTGTTAACCATATCTGGCCCGATTCTGTCTGTAGAGTCCAGGCCGCTTCTGGCAAGGACTCTCCAGTGTGGCAACAGAACGCGGCTTCAGCCTCCAGAACTAATTTAAAACTGTCACGAGAAGTCGACTTTCCGGGGCAAAGACACAGAATTTAATGAAAACTGCCTCTGCATCAGTCTCTCTTGATGCGTTTGATTACGCACAGGCAAGCACCCAGTTCAGGTCGACGCAGGAGGAAGATATGAGGTAAGGCAGATAGGAGTAATGTTCATTTGTAAAATAAATAAATGAAAAATTTAGCATATATGCTTGTCGTGTAAGTTTATTATTAAAATATGAATGAAAAAAGCGATTAGAAAATATGCAAATTATTTGACGGTCAATAATAGGTTATGACGGAATTTTTACAACCCTCTCCGTCAAAATGACAGACAATGACAAAGTCTAACGCGACCTCTGGTTTGGGTCTAATATAAATCACAATGCACAATTCAACAAACTCATACTAGTTCAATGGCCTTTTCCACTTCATTATAATAGAGAATCCCCACACAAACACACACACAGATCCCTTGGTGGTCCGATGAACTCTTTATGATTGTTGCTCAAGCCTGCACACATGTAAAATCTGTCTGTAAAAGCTTTTATAAACTCCAGTATAAAAACACGCACACACACACACACACACACACACACACACACACACACACACACACACACTCCAAGTAAATACATTAACAAACAAAATTGGCTTAAAAGGAGCCCTGCAAGTCTTCATTTCATATATTGGTTGAGAAATGTTTTCCATTCAGGACAAAAGCAATGATTCCCCTCCAGAATGAAGTTTCCTCACAGGCACGTCTGTTCACTGTTTCCCAAACAGATCAAATGCTTCAAAAGAACCAAAATGTAATCAGAAGCTGAACTGAACAGGCTCAACTTTAAAAGTCAGCATTAATAAGATATGGTCTTGCTTCTTTTTTTTCTATATTATTATGCGTTTTGGCCATATCATTGATTGGATGGTTTTGGATTGGTTTTGGATTGCTATCTCAATTGATTGACAGGTTGATCCCGCCTTCACATTATTAACAATACAAATTTTTGCTTCCTTATTGTAACCTATTTGAGTGAAATGGTTTCTTGATAGAGAACAAATGTAGGGGGGGGGCTTCATTTTGGCCACACCATTGATTGGATGGTTGTGGTTTGCTATTGGCTGATCTCATTTGATTGACAAGTTGATCCCGCCTTCGTGCTATTAAACTATGATAGTTTTTGCTTCCTTATCGTGACATTTAAGTGACATGGTTTCTGGATCAAGAACAAATGTAGGGTGGGGCTTCATTTTGTTAATTCGGGATTGATTGGATGGTTCTGGTTCGCTATCGGCTGATCTCATTTGAATGACAGATTAATCCCGCCTTCGAGCTATTACACACTAATAGTTTATGCTTCATTATGGTGATATATTTAAGTGACATGGTTTCTGGATCAAGAACAAATGTAGGGCGGGGCTTGATTACAGCACCATCATTGATTGGATGGTTGTGGTTTTGCTATTAGTTGATCTTAATTGATTGACAAGTTGATCCCGCCTTTGTGCTATTAAACAATGATAGTTTTTGCTTCCTTATTGTGACATATTTAAGTGACATGGTTTCTGGATCAAGAACAAATGTAGGGTAGGGCTTCATTTTGTTCACTGGGGATTGATTGGATGGTTCTGGTTTGCTATTAGCTGATCCCATTTGAATGACAGATTAATCCCGCCTTCGAGCTATTGCACACTAATAGTTTATGCTTCATTATGGTGATATATTTAAGTGAAATGGTTTCTGGATCAAGAACAAATGTAGGGCGGGGCTTGATTTTGGCACCATCATTGATTGGATGGTTGTGGTTTGCTATTGGTTGATCTCAATTGATTGACAGGTTGATCCCGCCTTCACATTATTAAACAATACAAATTTTTGCTTCCTTATTGTAACATATTTGAGTGAAATGGTTCCTTTGATATAGAACAAATGTAGGGCAGGGCTTCATTTTGGCCACACTATAGTTTGGATGGTTGTGGTTTGCTTTTGGCTGCTCGTATGTTAAGAATAAGGTCAATAATGGAGTTCTGATGTAAGCGTTATATTGAACTAGAACATTGAAAATGAAAACTTTTAGGATTTCCCAGTGACTTACCAGTGACTTGATGTGGCTAACCGGTCTCTGCTGTCCTCCAATGAGCAGGTACGGCTCAATCACCTCATAATGCTTAGAAGTGTTGTGATGATCTGGATAGGCAGCTGAAAAAATAAAAGACAAGAAAACATACTTGAGACCAGTCTAGACATTCAATGATTGACCAAATAACCCTGCTTAGCACTACACCATGAAAAAAATGTAGACAAGCAAAAAAATGGTCTTGTTTTACATTTACATTTAGTCCCTTAGCAGACGCTTTTATCCAAAGCGACTTCCAAATGAGCACAAGGAAGCAATTTACACAACTATAAGAGCAACAATGTGCTGTAGGCAAGTTTCAGGTGTGTAAAGTCTAAGAAGCAAAGCATTAGTAATGCAAGTTTGGTTTTTTGTTTTTTTGTTTTTTTGTACAGTTAGCAGTGGAGCCAGAGAGGCAATTGCAGATTAGTAAGGGAAGTGGAGACTAAATAGTTGAGTTTTTAGTCGTTTCTTGAAGACAGCGAGTGACTGCCGTTCTGATGCAGTTAGGGAGTTCATTCCACCAACTGGGCAGATTGAATGCGAGAGTTCGGGAAAGTGATTTCTTCCCTCTTTGTGATGGAACCACGAGGCGACGTTCATTCACAGAATGCAAGTTTCTGGAGGGCACATACATCTGCAGAACTGAGAGCAGATAGAAAGGAGCGAAGCCAGAGGTCGCTTTGTAAGCAAACATCAGAGCTTTGAATTTGATGCGAGCAGCAACTGGCAGCCAGTGCAAACGGATGAGCACCAGAGTGACATGTGCTCTTTTAGGTTCATTAAAGACCACTCGTGCTGCTGCGCTCTGAAGCAGCTGAAGAGGCTTGATAGAGTTGGCTGGAAGCCCGGCTAGTAGAGAGTTGCAATAGTCCATGGAGAGAACAAGAGCTTGAACAAGGAGTTGAGCTGCATGTTCAGATAGGAAGGGTTGGACTTTTCTGATGTTATAGAGTGCGAGTCTGCACGATCGAGCAGTTCTAGAAATGTGGTCAGAGAAGTTTAGTTGGTCATCAATCGTTACTCCAAGGCTTTTCACCATATTGGATGCAGTAATGGTTGCCCCATCCATCTGTTTTCAGAAATTATATCTAAAAATTAAGTGAGTTTTTATTAAAACAAGCTAAAAAATCTGCCAATGGGGTGTGCAAAATAATATTATGTCAAAAGGAAAAACAAGTTTATTTTGCCTACACCACTGGCAGATTATTTAGCTTGTTTTAGGAAAAACTTACTTAATTTTGACACATCAATTCTACAAACAAGACCAGAAAATTTAAGAGTAATTAAAAGAATTGCAGGGCGTCACTGTGGCTCAGTGGGTAGCACAATCACCTCACAGCAAGAAGGTTGCTGGTTTGAGCCTCAGCTGGGTCAGTGGGTATTTCTGTGTGGAGTTTGCATGTTCTTCCCATGTTGGCGTGGGTCTCCTCTGGGTGCTCCGCACAAGTCCAAAGAAATGCACTATAGGTGAATTGAATAAACTAAACTGGCCATAGTGTATGTGTGTGGATGCAAAAGTGTATGGGGGTTTCCCAGTACTAGGTTGCAACTGGAAGGGCATCCACTGCTCAAAATATTTGCTGGATAAGTTGGTGGTTCATTCCACTGTGGCGACCCCTGATTAATAAAGAGACTAAGCCGAAAAAAAAATGAATGAATAAATGACAAAGAAATGCATTTTTAGCCTGCTTACTTAAAATCCTTCTCTCCAGTCTGTGCTCAGTAGAGATCTCTTTTGTGTTTGCACGCTGTCACAGTGACGCCATGAACACAACATTGTTAATCAATGCTTTTAAGCACTGGGTTTGCATGACGACAATCTCCCTGGAAACTGCAAGCATCTATTCCTGCACTGCTAAAAATGCTTTTCATATTAGTTTTTGTCTCGTTTCTAGTCCAAATATGCAAATACCTGAATCAAGAAGCATTTTCTAGACAAGCAAAACATATTTTCTTGTTGTCCCAAAGAATAGTAATTTTTCCTTAAAAGCAAGCAAAATAATCTTGTTTTCATTTGGAAATTCTGTAAAGTTATTTCGCTTACCACATTTGCAAATAATTTTGCTTGCTTTAAAGAGAAACTCACTTAATTTTGAAATTATATTTCTAGGCAATGCAGTGGCGCAGTAGGTAGTGCTGTCGCCTTACAGCAAGAAGGTCGCTGGTTTGAACCTCGGCTCAGTTGGCGTTGGTCGCAGTACAAAGACATGCGGTACAGGTGAATTGGGTAGGCTAAACTGTCCGTAGTGTATGAGTGTATGTGTGTGGATGTTTCCCAGAGATGGGTTGGTGGTTCATTCCACTGTGGCGACCACGGATTAATAAAGGGACTAAGCCGACAAGAAAATGAAATGAATGAATGATATTTCTAAAAACAAGACTTCAACCCAATCCCAATTCAATTTTTGTACCCCTACCCAGGGGGTTACTAGGGTCGAAATGGATAAAGGGCTTAACAATTTTAGAGTGTGAGTTGTATCCAGTCTGACATAAAGCTACAAACAAGTTCATTTGGACAGAGTGATTAACTATGGTGTAGTCGTCAAGATACTGGAATTTCTAAATTCAATACCTTGCGAAATGTTGATATTCCATAGGCTACTATTTCTGATATAATAACAATTGCATTAAAAATAGTACAAAAAATAAAGATCTATATGCTAGAAATAAGTTAACTTCAAATGTCTTTAGAGGTATATACATATATACATATATACATACATACATACATATATACAGTATATATATAGTATTGATCACAGTATATATAGCAATGACAATAAAATGCTATATATATAAATATACATACACACATACTGTATGTATATATATACATATATACATATATATATACATATATATATATATATATATATACATATATATATATATATATATATATATATATATATATATATATATATATATATATATATATATATATATATATATATATATATATATATTTATTCCTATCACACAATAAAGTTAATTTTATATAAAATCATAGTGTAAACAACAATCTCTGGGCTTGCTGCATAACAAATACCAAAAATGTAACAATTTATAAAAAATTAATCACTTTCTGGCCATCGGATATTAGGCATGGACATATATACTATTATAAATATATAATAGGCCCAGCCTGTTAATCGAAACCAATCATATTGTTGCTGTGTAAAATATATGCTGGAACAGTTGGTGGTTCATTCCGCTGTGGTGACCCCTAATAAATAAGAGACTAAGCCAAAGTAAAATGAATGAATGAATACTGAAGTCAAATCTGGAGTTTATCTAACAGAATAACGGTCCAAAATTAGTACAATAGACCCAAATTTATGTGTTAGGAAAAATATTATTCATTCATTCATTTTCTTGTCGGCTTAGTCCCTTTATTAATCCGGGGTCGCCACAGCGGAATGAACCGCCAACTTACCCAGCAATTTTTTACACAGCGGATGCCCTTCCAGCCGCAACCCATTTCTGGGAAATATCCACACACAGATTCACACACACACTCATACACTACGGACAATTTAGCCTACCCAATTCACCTGTACCACATGTGTTTGGACTGTGGGGGAAACCGGAGCACCCGGAGGAAACCCACGCGAAGGCAGGGAGAACATGCAAACTCCACACAGAAATGCCAACTGAGCCGAGGTTCGAACCAGCGACACAGCGACCTTCTTGCAGTGAGGAGACAGCACTACCTACTGCGCCACTGCCTCGCCGGAAAAATATTACATTGAATATTAAATTAATTTTTCGTTAATAAATAAATAAAATTCATTTTTGTCAAAGCTACAAACTAGCTTGAAATGCTCACACATTTACAGACCTCCCCAAATATGGTTAGGCTTTCCAATTAATCCACTATGCAATCACTCCTCACTCGACAGACATTGCAGATCCTGGCACCTGACTATTCCAGATACCATTCCTAAAACCATATATCGTGCACCCCTAATAGAAATACAAATACAGCCAAAGCTGGAGTAATGATGCTGAAAATTGAGCTTTGTCATCACAGAAGTAATTACGTTTTTCATCATGATAACATTTATTTTAAACTCTAATCATCTTTCACAGTCTTACTGCTTTTATTGCATTTTCAATCAAACAAACGGAGCCTAAAAAATAAGCATAAGAAAAATGTCTCCTGAATCTCTCTCTCTCTTTTTCATATTATATTATTTTATCTCAACCTACAATTCATTTGATTTGCTTTCCCTGGTTAGTCGCATCTCTCGACAGTAGTTCTGGACCGGCGCCTGCATTTCGTCCCAACTGTAAACAAATTAGTTTCCTCCCAGACAATACAGTTTACCACAAACACGCCAACAATACAAACACATTTACACTCGCTGAACCCACTGACACACACAAACACGCTCTAAGCATTTATCAAGAATGACACCAGCAATGCAATTTGCTAATCATGCATGAAAACACTTCATTATGCGCTGACGGCCAAGCTGTTAAGAGTGCAGTTTACAATACGAGCACACTGAACGCTACTCCAAACAAAAGAGTTCACTGACAGCTCCGTGCCACCAACCACTGCATCTGTCTTCATTAAATCTTCATAAACAACTGCAACATCCTCTGTGTTATATACACATCCTTGATTTACAATGCATGCAAGTGAAAAAAGTGACTGATTACAGCTCCACCAAAGATCTTTGTTAGCATGCATTTTGAAAATAGTTTTTCTGATTATCTTTTGCAGTCAAAAATCAATCAGGCTCAATGTAAATATGTGCCCAGGACTACATTTTTTGAGAACCAACAAATATGCACCCCAAACTTTTTGAAAGGATGTGAAAGGATGGCCCGTTTCAGAATCAGTGTTTATTTGGAAAACAGCAACTCTAACTATGGTGCAGTGTGATCTTTGAAACTTTGCAGTAGGGGTGTCAAAATTATTAGTTTCTTTGGTGCACCGCAGACGCGGACAATTCGGTATCGGTTCAGTAATAATCATAACCGGTTATTATGTACTGACGTTATTTATCTCCTATGCTCTCTGTCGCAAGGGAGGTGAGCGCGAGTATTTACAACACTCAGCCAACTCAGG